ACGTTATCACTTTATTAATATTTTTATTAGGAATTACAAAAATTTTTTAAATACAAAAAATAAAAAAATTACAAAAATTACAAAAAATTGCTAATAAAAAAATTTTAAAAAAGTAGAAAAATTTAAAAAGTTTATAAGAAATGAAAATTTTAAAAAAATAAAAATCTAGAAAAAAAATAAAAATCTAAAAAATAAAAAAATAAATATCTAGAAAATAATATATATATAAAAGGGCGCATTTCAAGCATACGACCTCATTTCTTTCTTTTTCGATTACCAAGACACCCCAGGCAGTAAGAATCGATAAAATAACATGTAATAACGCGTTAAAATGTGCGCTTTTTATGTTTTCAAACGCAAACATTTTCTTTGTTGAAAAAATTACAAATTTGAAGATGATAATGCTTGCAAACTTATTTTTTTCAAAAAATAAAAATCGTTTTTAACGTTAAAATGCGGTTTTTAACGCGTAATAACGCGTTAAAAGGTGGTTTTTAACATGTTATTACGCGTTAAAATGAACCCTGGGTTATTTTAATGCGTAATTACGTGTTAAAACCGCACACTTTAACGCTAAAAAGAACATTGTTATGTTTCGAAAAAAGTAAGTTTGCAAGCATTACTATCTTCAGATTCGCAATTTTTCCACAAAAAATTTTTTTGCGTTTGAAAACGTAAAAAGCGCACATTTTCAGGCGTTATTACATGTTATTTTACCGATTTTTACTGCCTGGGACTTCATCTAGGCTCTCAAATTATCAAGGTAACCATCATGGATACTTTAATAAAGTAGTTAAAGTGGAGATTTTTTTCACAAAAGAAGAGCTCTTTTCAGAAAAGAACGATTTTGTATAAAGTTTGATCAAAGGTTTTAGGAGTCGAGGAATCCGAGTCTAAAATCAGTTTTTCGAAATTTTGAGTTCGATTTTACCACAAAATGTTTTGTAAAAAAATATTCTTTTTAACAGAAAACTTTTTGTAAAAAACAGGAGTTTTTTAACAAAAAATTTTTGTAAAAAAATATTTTTTTGAACAGAAAAATTTTTTGTGAAAAAGTGATTTTTTAGCAAAAAAAATTTACGAAACAAACTGGTTCACAAAAAAATTTTTTGTAAAAAAAATAATTTTTTCTATTAAAAAAAATATTTTTTTACAAAAAAATTTCTGTGGTAAAATCGAACTCAAAATTTCGAAAAACCGATTTCAGATTCGGATTCCTCGACTCCTAAAACCTTTGATCAAACTTTATAAAAAAATCAGTTTTTTCTTAAAAAAGATCTTCGTTTGTAAAAAAAAAATCGAACTCAAAATTTCGAAAAACTGATTCCAGATTCTGATTCCTCGATCCCTAAAACTTTTGATCAAACTTTATAGAAAATCGTTCTTTTCTTAAAAAAGCCCTTCTTTGGTGAAAAAATCTCTACTTTAACTATTTTATTAAAGTATCCACGATGCTTACCTGGATAATTTGAGAGACTAAATGAAGTGTCTTGGTGATCGAAAAAGAAAGAAATGAGGTCGTATGCTTGAGATGTGTCCTTTTATACTCCATTTAGCCGTTATTATTGGTGTTTAAGAACCATCGAATTGGAAAATTAAGATACTTATTTATTATTGGCTATTTTTTCAGCAACTGCGAGAACAGTGAACACTTTAGCAGGCACTGCACTCACTGCGTCGTAGATGCGAACGCAAATGCGTCGCAGTGAAAGCAGTCTATTTCTTTAATCTCAACTGCGGCCAGTGCGTCGCAGTTATGCGCAACTGCGTCGCAGAATGGCTACTGCGCGTAACTGCGACGCAGTTGTTAAAAAAGTGGTGACATGAGTAAATATCTTCTTAAGACTCATTGTCATCTACTCAATTATATTTTTAAGTTTTATTAGTTTTCAAAGTATGAAACAATTGAAATCAAGCCGATGAAAACTCTAGTGCACTTCTGGAGGAAATGTGTATACGTATGATTGTCAACATGAGCAATACAGTATAATTATGGAATGAAATGTGACAAAATTGACATTACAGACAAGTGAGTCACAATCGTTTAAAAAAAGAAATGGCATGAATAATTTCAATTTGCAAGAGGAGAAAGGTTTTGTGTGTCTCGTCTGTGGTTCTCGGCTGGACATTCGAAACTCTATTAAGCAATATCATAAGTGCAACATAATTTTCGTTTGTTTCTCATACGCGATCAATCATGCATATCTGTCTTCATCAACATAGCACGATTTCAATATGATTCATATGTTCTATTATTAAACGAAATTATTGACTTTTCATTTCAATATTCAACTTTTTATCGATTATCCTTGTTACATGAATGAAGATTTTCTCGAGTAATAAGAAAGTATATCAAAAACAATGCTCGAATATTTGATTGATGTTTTACTTAGAAGTGTGAACAGTTTTTGTCAAGTAAAAGTCAATAACAAATACTTTTATCGTTTGATCTTTGAATTTGTTCGATCCAATATTAAAAAGTACAGATCAATAGTCGATTATGATCTAGAGATAGTGCAACAAACGATTAAATGTATTCTATTTAAACATAGATAATATAATAGAAGTGACATGTACTTTTCTGATTTTTGATTGTATACATCTCTCATAACAAAGTAAAACAAAGAAAATAAGATAATTTGTTTATTTTGAACATTTTTCACAAAAAAACCTAGCTGAAATGTTTGAGTTCATCAATCTTCCATTCCTTACAATATTCAGCAGTCTTATTTCTTTTTCTTAAATAATTTGTGTTCAATTCATTTATTTTTTGACATTGATAAAATTCTCTTCAACATCTTGTTTCCGTGCATTTAACAATCTTTCCTTGATTGTATTATTAATACGAAAGACTACTTCAGCCCCTTGTAGATCTCTTTCTATCCATTTCTTACCATCATATATCGGATTGAGACGAAATATACGTATATATGATACATCTGCTCGTGTTGCATAAAATCGACACTTATTCGAATGACCAAAATCGACAAGATCAGCCCAATCATATCTTAAATATGAATTGACAATGATCTCTCCTGGTGGAGGTCGTGCATTAGGCACTCGATTGTTAGCAACCATCTTTCTCATGAGATTATCAGTTGTTGAAATCCATGACTCGAGAAATTTTGGATCACGTGCTCGAATAATTGAGCGACGAATTGTCATTGCAATGCTCGATAGTGATCTTGGATCATCGAACTCATCAGATCGAATTGCAATCAGTGCATTGGCAACATGTCCTTGTGGGGAGATCGCATCGGATACACCACGAATATTGACGATCATAATTGTTCGTGTGATAAGTTGTTCGTCGTTCTCGAAAGAGTGAGTATTGAGGGTGAGAATGATATAGGCGGTGAGTGCGTCCTGAATTGTTACGCTTTCTCCACCGGCCCTCATGCGCAAACACTCAAGTTGTTCTCTTGAAAAGCACATATTGACTTGATCGTGCGTATTTTGATCGGTGGTGAGTTGCTGGATAATCTGTTCACGTGTTCGAGCATTCTGCAAATAGTTCATCATGGGAAAAAGAGACGAGTCAATAGGATCATTATGCCACAAACGTCGTTCAAATATGGGTGC